TTTGATTTGCTAATATTTTACCTAGGATTTTTATATCTAAGTTAATGATAGTGATTGGTCTGTAAGTTTCCTTTCTTGTAATGTCTTCCTTAAGTTTTGGCTGGCCTCATAAAAATGATTTGGGAGGGGTGTCTGGGTAGCTCAGTTAGTTAATCATCCCACTCTTGGTTTCGGCTCAAGTCATGCTCTCATGGGTCATGAGATGGAGCCCCATGTCTGGCTCCCTGCTTGGTGGGGAGTCTACTTGAAGAGTCTCTCCTGCTGCCCCTCCTGCCACTTGCTCACTCACACTCTCTCTCACTCTCAAATAAATAATTTTTTTTAAAAAATGATTTGAGCACTGGTTGTTATATGTAACTGATGAATTATTGAACTCTACATCTGAAAATAATGATGTGTACTATATGTTAATTGAATTTAAATTATAAAAAAAAATGATTTGGAAACTATTCCCAATCATTCTCTGGAAGAGTTTGTGTAAGATTATTTATTTCTTAAATGTTTTTAAATAAGCCCATCTTTGTAGGAGAATTTTCAATAAAGATTTAATTTGCTAATTTTATTTCACTGCAGCCAGATAACATACTTTGTATGATTTCAGTCCTTTTAAATTTATTGAAACTCATTTTATGGTTTAATAATGGTCTCTGCTGAAAAATTTGTCATGTATACTTGAGAAGAATGTATATTCTGCTATTGTCTAGAGTGTGTTCTGTAGATGTTAGATCTAGTTGATTTATAGTGTTGTTCAAGTCTTCCATTTCCTTGTTGATTTTCTGTCTTGATTGTTCTATCCATTGTTGGAAGTGAAGTACTGAAGTCTCCAACTAATATATTGTATGAGTTTTTCATTCTCATATTGTTTGAGTCAGGATTCTCCAAGGAAACAGAAGCAAAAGAACATGTGTATGTGTGTGTGTGTATTTATATACATATAACACATATATGGAGAGAGAGAAATTTTAAAGAGCTGGCTCATGCAATTGTGGAAGCTTGGTAAGTCCAAAATCTGATGAGGTAGGCTGGATACTCAGGGGAGAGTTGTAGTTCAAATCCAAAAGCAGTCTACTGGCAGAATTCCTTCCTCCTTGGGGGAGGTCAGCCTTTGGTCTCTTAAGGCCTTCAACTGACTGGATGAGGCGTGCCCACATTATGAAAGTCAGTCTCCTTTACTCAAAGTCCATTCATGTAAATGTTAATCTCATCCATAAAAACCTTATGGAAATGGACAGAATAATGTCAACCAAATATCTAGCCACCATGGCTGAACCAAGTTGACATATAATTAACCATCACACGTACTTTTTCACACTCTTCCTCTAGCAATTTGTCAAAGTTACCATTTAAGTATTCTTTAAGTGGTCTTCCCTTCAGACTTTATTATTCTCTATTACACTTATAATATAAACCAGGTTATAGAATTAGAAAAACCTCAGGGCGCCTCGGTGGCTCAGTTGGTTAAGTCTCAGACTCTTGGTTTCAGCCCTGGTCAAGATCTCGCAGTTGTGAGATAGAGCACTGCGTGGGGCTCCACACTCAGGGCAGAGTCTGCTTCAGATTCTCTCTTCCTCTCCCTCCCACTCTCTCTCTCTCAAAGGAAGAAAGAAAGAAGGAAGGAAGGAAGGAAGGAAGAATTAGAAAAACCTCAATTCAAAGTTAGCCCTTCAACTTCTTATCCTTTTGTCTTTAAGCAAGTCTACCTAAATTTTCTCTATGTTATCAATTAAGAAATTAAAGCCATTAAGGCTGATTGGTCCAGGGTGCTAATGCATATTAGAACTAATGATCAAATTCTATTTGAATTCTTGTCTTGCACACAATTTACTATAAATAATGTATTGAATTTGATAGCGATAAAATACACCTTACGGGTATTTTAACTATATACGAGAATTTCATGTGTTTGAGAATGACAGATGTATATTTTATTTAAACACTATGTAATTAGTGAGATTGCTGCCTTTTAGTTCTGGATATGTTTTAGACTAACCACTTTTGTCCCTAAATTTTTCAGTTTGCAAGCATGAGTAGATACCTTTTATTTCTTTGTCCCAAGGGTAGTCTAAGTAAGATGTCAATCACATGCAAAGGTGTAGTGATCTTTGATGAAAGGAATTTAAAAAAAAAAGGGGGGGATTTTATTTATTTATCTGCTAGACAGAGAGGGAGAGTACAAGCAGGGGAAGTGGCAGGCAGAGGGAGAAGCAGGCTTCTTGCTAAGGAAGGAGCCCGATGTGGGACTCAATCCCAGGACCCTGAGATCATGACCTGAGCCGAAGGCAGATGCTTAACCATCTGAGCCATCCAGGTGCCCCAATGAAAGGAATCTTAAGAGAACATTTAACTTAGTGCCAGTTTCAGGGAAGGAAAGCCCACAGCTTCTTTTAATAATGTTTATTTTATTAATGACTTTTGCTGAAAGAAAAATGTTTCTTCGTGGAAATCCTGAGAAAGTTTCTTCTGGACTATATATTATTTCGGAACACCCTCATTAAAAAAACAAGTAGATATTAGCTGAAAAATAGGTATAGCTGAAAGTTTGAGCCTAATTTTCATATAGGAGAGTAATCTAATGGCTTGGGATGGAGGTTTTGATTTCATTTGCATTGTAGGAGGCAGTATAATGTAAATCAAGTTAGATCTGAGTTTCGATTCCAGCTCTGCCACTTAATAATGTATGACTTTGGCCAAGTTATTTAATTTTTTGGGTTTCACTACCTCCTATTTCTTAAGGTTATTAAAGACTTAAGTGATACCCATGTAAAGAGGACCTAACACAGTCCTAGATACCTTACAGGAACTCAGCAAATATTGGTGTCATCCATTTTTTCTGTATTTACATGTTGGCAAATGGGAATGTTGATAAGGAACAAGAGGGGAATCATTTTTCCTTGCCCCAGGAATGTACTTCCTGGCACTAATGAGAATGATACATCTCTTCAAATGCTTGTTTTACTGGTAGTTAATAGCTTATAATAAAGTGTGGTGTTTTTTTTTTGCCTCTTTGCTTTTATATAATTTGACCTTTGAAAGAAAGACTATACCAGGACTCTTACAAGAGATATGTATATGTATTGAATATATGTAAAATGTCACAAAATATAGTCTTAAAATTTGAAGGTAATAACCATGAAGATCATCTGGTCCTTTGTGTTTCTTGGGGCAGAATTCCCTTTCATGAAATTCTTGATCTAGATGTGTATGAATGCTTTGCATGAACAATTTCAGTAATTGTGGTCTTACTTCCTCTAAAGGCAGTCATTCTGATTTTAGAATGCTCCATTAATTAGAACAGTCTTCCCTATTTTGTCCTTTACTCTGTCTCCTAATAATTCTGCCCTTGCTCCTTTTTATTACCTGTAGAACTTCATAGAATAAACAACTTTGTTCTGCAGGTATCGGGAACCATATCTTAGTCATTTTTTTTATCTCATAGGATAGTAAGTACCCAACTCAAAATAGGGATTTATTTAATGAATAAATAAGGTTCAGATTTTTTAAGGTACTTTTATGTATTTTTTCATATGTAAACTTTAAAATTTAGTCAATGTTTTTTATTACTCTTGGTCAAAAATTAATTTTTTCAACTGTATTGACAAAATTAAACAAGGAATATTGATTTATGCTTATGTGTGATATCACTTATATAATCCAGAAGTGAATAGCTTTTTCCAAGGAAAGAATTAAAAATTAAATATGATTCACATCTCTTTCATTCAGCGCTTCTTGTAGCATAATCTATCTGAAGGTTGAAAGCATGTTAGATTTTTTAAAATTTCTTACACTTTGTTTTGTAGTGTCTTTTGCACTCATTACAGACAATGTATGCTCCACTTCACTGACTCATCAGACTGGACATAAATAACCAACATCCAGCTATATGATATTTAAGAAGATCTAAAACCTAATAATAAGGAAAGATGGAAAATAGAAGGACAGAGGCCATCCAAACACTAACTAAGAAAGCTATTGTAGTTATAGTAACAGCAAATCAAAAAGAGTTAAGGGGAAAAAACCATTAATAGAAATTAATGGAGTTACTTCATAATTTAAAGGGTTCAGTTTCACCTAGAAGCTATAACAATTCTAAATATATATTCACATTTTCTGTGATTTTTAGACTGCTGTATATTTTATTGCTTCCATTTTTTAACTGAATGCTCTCTTCCCAATTTCATGCCATCAGCAAATTTTTTTAGAAACATTTTTCTTCATAATCTTTGTTCAGCAGATTTCTCACATAAAGTGAATGACTCCCTTATTAATGCTAATCCTTATAGCAACCTGTTTGTGCTTACTAGCTTCTTTTGTTATCTAGTTGTCTTTATGTCTTTTCCTGTCCCACTAAGGAACAGGGTTTTGGCTAGTAGTCATGAAAGATATTTGATACTCATTTATACAGAATTACCATACATAAGAACATAGTTGCAGTGGATGATATAGTTGACAATCTGTCTCTTTAGAATTCTATTTCTCATGTCCTGGAATGTGTCTGTAGAAGTTAAGAATGGGCTGCCCCTAAGAGGAGTAGCCATGTATTTTGATACCAACTACCTTGCCTTTCATTTTTGCTTCTTGTGGCTTCTTGTTGCATTTTGGCTTATGAATAATAGGTACATGTTAGAATGCTTACATTTGCATAAGTTTCCCAGGTACTTATTCTTCAGAGTACAGGAACAATCTTTTAGGAGTTCACATAACAATGTGTAAGGTATTACTATATATCTTACTACATATCATACAGTCTCCATTCCTATTCATTTATTGATGCAGGAAACATCTACCAGGTGTCTCATCTTTGATAAGCCTTATTAGAAAAATATAATAAAACTATATTTTATTGAACAGAATAATGAATTCTCACCTCTTTTTTTCTTTCCTAAGAAATCCAAGCATTTAATTCATTTCTTATAATGGGGGAGAGGGAGAACATTTCCCAAAGAAACAGAGGCATCATTTTAATTATAAAATGAATTAATGGAAATCTTTAAATTTTTCAGAATGAGAGAGACCCAGAGAAAGAAGATGAACTGGAACTGAAAAGAGGTCTTTTATACAGAGACTCTGCCTATGACAGTGACCCAGAGTATAGGTATGAGCTAGATTAATGCAGCGTGTTGAGATCTTTCTCACAGTTGGCATAAATGTAACCTGCTTTTTAATCTGCTGGATTTGTGGGAAATTTAGACTCAAATTAATAATTAGTTATTAATAGGTTTTATTTTTAACTATATAAAATCCTATTAAAATACTTGAATGATTGCATTACTGCACCTTTTCAATGAAAACAAATATAGTCAATTAAGGGTGATACTTTTCATTTTACTTAAGATTTATAGTGTATTTGGCTGTCCTGCCAATCCACATAACCAGGGCTTATTTTTAGGTATATTTATTCTCATTCAAACAACAGTTTCCATAATTTTAGACCATGAGTAAGCTTTTTTTTTAATAACATAAAACTGTTCTAGCCTAACATTTCAGAAATGTTAGTAATAACAAAAATTTTTGCAAGATTATGCTAGCAAATGTCATGAAGATTTTTTAAAGGTCTATGTAAGTTGCCATAGAATGTGGTATTAAAAGTAATATAAATTGTGAGTTTATGTAACTGACAGTTCTCTGAATCCTTTGGTGCTTATTACTACATGGCTTCCACTTTCCTGGGTTTCCTGAAAAACAAGTATAAGAAAAAAGCTCCAGATAATGGAATACGTTTTATTGCTAACTTGAGTTTTAGACTGAATTTTCTGATCTTTACCTGATAAGTTAGGCTAGATATTCTGTGAACATGTGAGGACTTCTTTTGTCCCTTACACAGAGTATAAATGTGAACTCCTTTCCCAAAGCTATTGCTTCCCAACCAACAGGCAACCTGGGCCTCCCATCAAGGGAAATAGCATATTACAGGTGAGTTTGAAGAAGCAATCCGAACAGGAAAAAGGAGATCCAGGAAAGTCCACACCCTGAGGAAGAAGACTTTTTACCTTTATTATTTTTTTTTCTAAAGATTTTATTTATTTATTTGAGAGAGAGAGAATGAGAGATAGAGAGCACGAGAGGGAAGAGGGTCAGAGGGAGAAGCAGACTCCCTGCTGAGCAGGGAGCCTGATGCGGGACTCGATCCCGGGACTCCAGGATCATGACCTGAGCCGAAGGCAGTCGCTTAACCAACTGAGCCACCCAGGCGCCCTACCTTTATTATTATTATTTACTTAAAGCTCTGTTCTCCAGATTGCTACTATATGGATTAACATCTCAATTTTGGTTCTTAATCCATGTAATTGATTCTAATATGGGAAAGAATGGATAGGGTTGATAAAGGAAAGTGTCTGATTTTCAACTTTTGTATGCAGAATAATTACCTGGGTTGCATCTTAAAAATAAGAGTTCATCTTCCTACCCCCTTAGATTCTAAATCTTTACCCAAAAGGTGAGACCTAGAAATCTGCATTTTAAGAAATATCATGGATGCTTCTAATGCAGCTGGTGTAGGGACCACATTTTGAAAAGCACTGGTCTGTATTTAAAGTTTGCTGTAAACCTCAATATTGGTTCTTTTTCCAGTTCACCAAGCAATGTTAATGGCTTACCTGGGACTATTTTGGTACCCCTCAAGTAAGAGTTAAGCAGAGTATCAGAAAAGTTCTGCTTATACATTTTTTTGAGATTTCTTTATATTCCTTGCCACTTCTCTTATATATACATTTAGACTGATAGGATCGAGTGGTCAGAACTTCAAGACCTTTTATAAGAGTATATTTGATATTAGCTCCAGAAGCTACTGGATGATCAGGATATTATTTTAGTTTTATCCCTAAGTCATATTAAATATTAGGACAAGGAGTCACTCTCATTCTACTTTCCATCTCAAAGATGAGAGAACCTATGCGTGAAGGCTTCCATCAGCAGAAATCAAGAGGAGGTTTGGGGTCTTGGCTTAATATCACCCCTCTCAGACACACATTGACACAGAGGTCCTGAGGAAGTCTGCATGGACCCCTGGAATGGCTGAGTGAGGAGCTCAGCAAATCCTCTTCCCCAAAGCAACAACTAGACAGAACTGTCAAAAACACCAATTTTAAGACTCTAGAAATTGACCAAAGGCATATAACAAATTGAGAAGCATTTATCAAGAAAATCTACTGAGCCTCAATAAGGGCAGTGGGAATCTGTGGCATTTTGTCCAGAACTCCCAGTGCCCAGCTTCTTTGGGCAGTCATGCTGAGAGAACGGCAGCTCGGCTGCCAGAGGAGACTGGCTATATGGAGCAGAGCATGGGAAATCCTCTGTACATGGAGATTAGTTGAAATAATAATGATCCCACTGGCAACCAATAAGAGAAGGCTTGAGGTCTAACTACTTGTTGGGACAGATAACAAAGATCCAGGTAGCCAAAGTTGGTCTTGATAAAGTTGTACTTACCCCTAGTAGTCTGAAACATTATGTGTATGTGTAAGGTTGTAAATATGTTCAGGAAAAACTGGAGAGGCCCTTAGGGAGCTACTAGTCCATGGCTGAATGTGAGGCCTTGTGAAGGCAGAAAGTAATACCCAGGGCAAGCTTGCAAACTGGATAAACTTTGATTGTATATTCCAAGTCACACATAGATCCATTGGCAAAAGATGGAAGAAGGCTTCCTGACCAATCATTTGCTGGTCACTAACCTATGCTGACCCAGGGGCAGCCCCTATGATTCCGACTTAAAAGTAGAAACAATAATTTTTTTAAAAAAAGAAAAGGAACAGGAGACATCAGAAACTATACAGGACAAGGGAAGCAGACTTCAGGCATTAGTGCAGGCAGGACACTAAACAATAATCAAAAAAACCCTGGTAAGGTCAAAATCAAGAGTTGTTGCATTTTTTATCTAGAATATTGTTTTCAACAAAAACTTATGAGACACACAAGAAATAGGAAAATCTAACCCATACAATTGAAGAATGAATTACTATAAACTGTCTTTGAGGAGGCCCAGATATTGGATTTAGCAGCTGTGTTCAAAGAACTAAAGGAAATCCTGTTTAAAGAATTAAAAGCATATATAATGGCAGTGACTCATCAAATAGAGAATATCGATAAAGAGATAAAAATTATTGGGGCACCTGGGTGGCTCAGTCGTTAAGCATCTGTCTTCGGCTCAGGTCATGATCCCAGGGTCCTGGGATCGAGCCCTGCATCGGGCTCCCTGCTCGGCAGGAAGCCTGCTTCTCCCTCTCCCACTCCCCTTGCTTGTGTTCCCTCTCTCGCTGTGTCTCTCTCTGTCAAATAAATAAATAAAATCTCTAAAAAAAAAAAGATAAAAATTATTTCTTTCATGCTTTGCTTCAAAATTATGCCTAGGATTCAATACTTGATCTTATGATCTAAATGTGCACTGTGGTTATCATTCACGGAGTGTAGCAGAGAGTCTGTGCTCTCTGCAGGAAGAGCAGAATGGGAAATTGGAGTGCCTGTTACTGTACACGGCACCCTATGCATGCTAGCTGTCCTAGGTCTTCCGTCCTCTTTGAATATAAAATTCATTTGGAAGAAATCTCTTATCGAGGAGTTGTTAAGTGAACTTTTACTTCAAGTGCTTTGGGATCTGGAGCTGGAGTTTGGGAAGAATCTATTACCCATGTCGACCTCCCTCTCTCTTACATGTTGCCTATCTTTTAGGAAATTTTAGACCTTTGCAGTGGTAGCCTTGCCAGTGCCCAGGGTCCTGGCGGGCTTTTTAGTACCTGCTCTGTATAGTTCAGATTTCTTCAGTTTTCAGGATGTTTAAATTTCTCCATATAGTTCTGTACTTCTGGCATAACTATCTTATTTGAACATTGGTCCTAATTAAAGACCAGGCATGAGTGATGCTTCATATAGATGGGAATTGGTCACAAAAAGAGAGAAGTAAGGATAAAAATAATTTTAAGTTCATCGTTAGAATGTGAATTGACCTTTTGTGACTATTGCCTAAAATTTTTAACCATATTCTTTTATGGAACTAGCTAATGATATAAACTGTTTACTATTACACTGAATATTTTTCAGGTTACTAACAGTAGAAATATGCTCAATAAAATGTTTTATTGTGAAATTATTTGTAACAGAACTGACTAATTAAAATTTTGACTCTATATTTTTTTTGTTTTTATAGATTCCAGTATAGTTAATATACAGTGTTATCTTAGTTTCAGGTGTACAATATAGTGATTCGGTAATTCCGTGCTTCACCTGGTGCTCATCACAAGTGCACTCCTTCATCCCCATCACCTACTTCACCCATCCTCCCACCCCCTCCCCTCTGGTACCCAGCAGCTGAATATTTTTGAATAACACAGGCTTGACTGTAGTTTTCATCTCTTCCCTACTGATCACTATCTGATTAATCTGATGAATCTACTAAGGTGTAATAAGTAGCCAAAAGGCTGTGTTTAATATTAACAAGTGGAAGAAAAAAATCTAAATAATATACAGACTTAAAATCTCTTAAATAACTAAGAATAAGCTTTCATTTTTAAGTGAGAAAAATGTTACTTGATTCTAACTTGAATTCATTGGATCTTGTGTTATTAACTCAAGTATCTTGATATCCTTTTTCATTAAATACTTAAGATTTAATTTTTTTAAACAAATTTTGTCTAGAAGGTATATTGATATTCAGAAATATTGGGGGTGCTGCATATTTATGTGATTTTTCAAAGTGTAAAAATTGTGGCTTAGGGGTCTAGAAAAGTCTCTGATGATTAGGACAGGGCAGTGTTGTATTCATTTTTTAAAACAAAAATATGACCTTGGTAATTAGACTTAATATTGACACCAGGGCATGTCCAGTGTTCCAACTTGTTGTCCGCTTAAAAAATACTACTAAGCAACCAGAATGGTTTTAGGACTACCAAGTCTTGCAGACTAATTTAATTTTTTAAATAGATCATGAGAAAGTAATACATTAAATATAACTTTCAGTAAGAATTGTGATTTTATGACATTCTCATAAACAAGTAGGTGATTATGGTCTGAACTAGTGTTAGGTGGACTGCTGATTGGGTGATGACATGGAAGAGACTATTACAGCAATCCCAAGTTAGATTCGAGAGCCATAATAAGTAGGAG